TACAGCAGTTTACTTAACTGCAAATGGAGGGCTGGTACAGCTAGAAACTGGCCCCATTTATTGAAATGTCTAGCACACTCTAAACCATCATGCAAGACACAATTCCTATTTATCCTACCTCCACTGCTACAGACCTCTTATGTTCTTTTTTACTAATGAACTTAAACTCAACTCTTGCTAAAAATGGCAGCCTTCTTGATCACTGAAGCCAGAATATTTATCTCAGCTCACATGCTCCACAAACTCCCTGCAACATTGGCCCTTTGTTGATATACCTTCTTCTTGCCATTCCCTTGGCTTCCTTGACACCAAACTCACCTGGTTTGCCTCCTCCTCCTTCTTTTCCACTTCGTCTCTGCTGACTGCCTCTAAAAGCAGGTATTTTCCCAAAAATAGGTATCATACAGATATGCCACAAGGTTTTCTCTTCAGGCCCCTCCTCTTCCTTCTGCTGCTTTCCTCATCAGGGAAGTACTCTCTATCCTCACAGGCTAGAGCCTGCACTTGCCACCTAGAGGCGCCGGGGTGGCCCAGCTAGGAAATCATCTTTCACCCATGCAGCAGTTACCTGCAGGGATCAGTGGGAGCCCAGCAGCACCACGGGAACCAACTAGACGAAAACAGCAATGCAAAGGCCCTGAAAACTACATTGACACTGGAACCAGACGTCACTAAAGAAGACCAGGGCCTGCATGCTAAACCTAAACAGAGTGACTGCCTGCTAAAGTAGATTTCCGTTAAAAGTTAAGATTTAACATAATAGCCAAAGTGTCTAGGATACAATCAAAAATCACTTATGCCAAAAGTAAAGAAGGGCACAGCTCGAATGAGAAAAGACATTGACAGATGCCAACACTGAGATGATTTAGGTGTTGGAATTATCTGACAAGAATTCCAAAATCATCATCATAAAAACGCTTCAACAAGCAATTACAGATAGCCTTGAAACAAATGATAATACAGAAAATCTCATCAAAGAAATGCAAGGTATTGGGCTTCCCTGGTGGCGCAGTGGTTGAGAGTCCGCCTGACGGTGCAGGGGACACGGGTTCGTGCCCCGGTCCGGGAGGATCCCATATGCCGCAGAGCGGCTGGGCCCGTGAGCCATGGCTGCTGAGACTGCGCGTTCAGAGCCTGTGCTCCGCAACGGGAGAGGCCACAACAGTGAGAGGCCCACTCACCACAAAAAAAAAAAAAAAAAAAGAAAGAAATGCAAGGTATCAAAAGGAAGCAAATGGAAATTATAGAACTGAAAAACACAGTAACTTAAATTTTAAAAACTCACTGGAGAGGATCAATAGCAGAATGAATATGATGGAGGGAAGAATCAGTTAACTTGAAGATAGAACAATAGAACTTATCCAGTCTGAAGAGAGAAAACAAATTGAAAAAATATATAAACAAAGCCTAAGGGACCTGTGGCATAATAGCAAATGATCAAACATTCATATCATCAAAGTCACAGAAGGAGAGGAGAAAGAGAATAGTGCTGGAAAAAAAATTTGAAGAAATAAAGACTGAAATTTCCCAAATTTCCTAAAGACATAAACCAACATATTCAAGAAACCAAGTGAACCACAAACAGAATAAGTTCAAAGAAACTCTCATCAAGCCACACCATAATTAAAGTTCTGAAAACTAAAGACAAAGTAAAAACTCTTGAAAGCAACGAGAGAGAAACAATCTAGAAGGGGCAAAACAATTCAAATGACAGCAGATTTGTCATTTGAAAACGTGGAAGGCCAAAAGGAAGGGATAACATTTTTCAAGGGCTAAAAGAACTATCAATCATTAATTCTATATTCAGCAAAAAATATCCTTCAGAAATGAAGAGGAAATAAAGATATTCTCAGACAAAGGAAAACTAAGAGAATCTGTCACCTACAGACCTACCCTTTAAAGATGGATAAGGAAAGCTCTCCAAATAAGAAAGAAATGGTAACAGAGGCTTGAAACTGTGGAAAGGAAGGAAAAACAATAGATTAGGGAATGAATGAATGAATGATGAATGGATGGGTGGATGAATGAAGGATAAATAGACTATCTTTCTCCTCATGATGATTGAATCAAAAAGTATTATTCCATCTGATGTGATGTTTAATATATGTAGAGAAGTAATCAAGACAACTGTATTTTAAAAGTGGGAAGGGGGGGGCTTCCCTGGTGGCGCAGTGGTTGAGAGTCCGCCCGCCGATGCAGGGGACACAGGTTCGTGCCCCAGTCCTGGAAGATCCCACATGCCGCGGAGCCGCTGGGCCCGTGAGCCATGGTCGCTGGGCCTGCGCGTCCGGAGCCTGTGCTCCGCAACGGGAGAGGCCACGGCAGTGAGAGGCCCGCGTACTGCAAAAAAAAAAAAAAAAAAGTGGGAAGGGGAAAAAAATCTAAATGCAAGTAAGATTTCTATATCTTACTTGACATGATAAAACACTGATACCAGTAGATTGTGATAAGTCATGTGTGTATATTGTAATACATAGAGCAACCACTAAGAAAACTAAACAAACTGATATACTCAAAAACATTATTATAAATAAATCAAAGTGGAATCCTAAAAATGTTCATGTAACCAACAATAAGGCAATAAAAGAGAAATGGAGGAATGAAAAACAGAGGGAACAAACAAAAATCAAATAGTAAGATGGCAGATTTAAGGTATATCAATAATTTACCTAAATATATTAATTAAAAGACAGATATTGGCAGAGTGGATTAAGAAAAATATGATTCAACAATACACTGGCTACAAGAAACTCACTTCATATATAACACAGGTTGAAATTGAAAGGCTGGGAAAATGATACACCATGCAAACATTAATCAAAGTAGGAGTGGCTATATTAAACATCAGATAAAGTAAATTTCAGAACAAAGAAACTTACCAGAAACAAACAGGAACATTCATGATAAAGGATCAATCCACCAAGAAGACATAATAATCCTGAATGTGTGCAAGGCAGTTTCACCTATGATGCTTCTGCCAATAATTTTCAAATCCATTTTCCCAGGCTACTTCCTCCACAGAGCAGTAAATCAGAGAAAGGTGGCAGCGACCCCTGGCTTTTACCAGCCTCCCCACCCTCCAAACTCACATTTCAATGCAGGACCCAGGCTTCACATATCCTTCTGCGCCAAACACTACGTATTTGGTAGGTGCTGTGCACAGGGCTGAGGGGAAAAGGCACACAGAGACCAACTATTGCCTCAAGGACCCTGCACAAGCCCCGCCCATGGAGTCCCCCCTGCCTTCTATTCCAGGGTTGGACATGACTCTTCCATTCTGCCAAGGCTGGACATCTGACCGTACTCATCTGACTGCTCCAGCCCAAACAGCTCTGCAATGTTCTGCCGCCAGTCCCCAGATCCCTAGCAGGAAGCACCCATCCCCTGCCTGAATGATGCTAAACATCTTTTTTCTTCCTTCCTTTACCCTTTCTTTTCCCCATCACTACTCTCTCTGAGTTCCTGTTTCTGTTAATAACGTGGATTTTTTCCAACTACCCAGATTGAAATCTCAATCATTTTCATCAAATTCTGTGACTCTTCCACTCCAACGTTTCTTACATAGAGTCCCACCTATTCTCTCCCCGGTGTGGTGACTCTACACTAGTTCAGGCTTTCACTTCACAATACCTCCTAACTGGTCTCTCTCCTGTGCTGCCAAACAAAACATCTTTCCTTTTTTAGTAGGTTTTCTGAGCTTTGCCCACGAACTCTTACTGCCCCATTTTCCAGTCCAACTATATCTCACTGGTCCCTAAAAATGCCTCCATGCTTTCCATGCTTGTAGTTCACTGGCCAGAATGCTTTTCTTCAATCTCCATCTGGAAAAATACTAGCCTTTCTTCAAGGCTCTCCCCAAATACAACCTCCATCATGAAGGTGGTATTTGAGCAGGTATTGAGCATGAAACGCCATCCTCTTCACCAAGCATAATTGCTTTCTTCCTTTAAATCTTCACAAGATACTGTACCTTTCCTATGGTACTTTTATATTCTGCCCCATCTCTGTTGATTTGCATAGTTGACTTCTCTCCCAACTGTAAGTTCCAAAGACACCAGTAGCATCTTCTTCATCTTTGTACCCTTGCACCACCCACCCTCCACAGTGCCAAGTAAAGTGCACTGCACATATGAAAGGTTTTAATAAATATTTGTTGAATAATTTGAAAGCCAACCCTGTCTCTCTCTACCAAAATATTCCTTCTCTCTTTCTTCATCACAGCTTTGAATTTTTATCTTTCAAATCTAAAATGTTTGTATCAAACTCATTACTTTTCCTAAAACATAATTTTATGTACAAAAAAATTAGTTTTTCAATTATGTAAATCAAAATATACATAAATGCTTTTACAGTATTTACATACACTGTATGTAAGGTATGTTGTATAAACCTTATATGTATATGACCTCTAGATGTTTATATTCTCAGTCTTTTTAACAAATAACATTCTTAGTAAAATTTCACAAAAATTGACATGGAAAAGTTGGATTAGGAGATTAAATATATCCTTAAAATAACTGATTTAAACTTTCTTGGTCTTTTAACTATAAAATAGTTTATCCTAGCAACATGAATGGAAAGAGACCTGAACTACTAGAAAGAATGTAACTTTGCATAGCTTGTATGTGTAGTTTTCCTTGGTGGGTTTTCAGTGGCCAGTGACCCCTCCTCAGCTGGTCTCCTCAACTGCTTGCACTTGCTCAGACCACCTCCATCTACGACAATGTGCACCCAGAAGACAAACTCAATTTAGACTCAAAATGATCCAAGCAAAATGTAATTTTGAAAATGCAGCACATACTTAAAACGTGTGATGGATTCCAAAGCCATGATTAGTTTTTACTTGACACTATACTATGCAGACCACTACTCCCATTCATTACTGCAATTAACTGTACATGAAATTATTTTTATTGCTAATTTTACCCCAGTGAATTTCCATTTCAAGAAAAACATTAACATTTGTTTCTAATTAAATATTTATTGCTTATGTTTTACAGACCCGACATCAGGTTCTTCTTTAGACTGGGCTTACAACCTGGGCATCAAACACACATTTGCCTCTGAGCTCCGAGACAAAGGCAAATTTAGTTTTCTCCTTCCAGAATCTCAGATAAAGTCAACTTGTAAAGAGACCATGCTAGCTGTCGAATTTATTGTCAAGTATATCCTCAAGCATACTTCCTATAGAACTGCCCTCTGTTTGGAATAAGCCAGTTAATTCTTCCCGTGCCTTTCACTAGAAAGTCAATCTTTGCTTATCCCTAAATGTGGTTTCCACATCACCTGAATAGGTCCTCTCTTGTTCACTTAAGTCCTATGTTATTTCTTTTTGCTTTTATTTACTCTCAATAGTATCTTAACAAATAGCCTTAGGTGAAAGTTTAACCAAGTTAAGTTAGAACCCAGCACAAAGTATTATTTTGAGTATTTTGAAAGGTGATATACAGTGGGTCATGGGAAGGAAATGAGGACCTTCACTTTCTCCAGAACCAGACTTTCACCATGTGGCTTCATCATTTCATGTGCCAATATAATAAAAATAAAACATATTCCAAAATGCACCTTCTGTTTTTTATAAATTATGTTCTCTACATTCCTCTATTAGCATTAATAATCATGCATTAATGCTTCTTATGCATTCTGTTAATAAGAAAGAACACCTTCAATTTTTCAAAACATATTTTGCCTACATATTTTTTTTAATACAAGTTGATAATGTTTATATCTTCACACTAGCAAAAGGATGTTCTAGCAGGAAATAAAGTGGTTTATTTAGAGATGAATCTCAGTGCCTTAAACAACCAATCCAGTTCTCATCGACGTAATGTACATAAAATTCAAAATAGTTTAAACTGCCATAATCAGAGGAAATTACCTGCCAAAACACCTCTTGGCAGTTACAGACACAGCCAGAACATCTGGTCAGCTGTGAGCCCTGCCTAATAATGGATAGACAAAAAGCCTGGAAATAAAGTTGAAAAGGAAAAGAGAAAGTCATGTCGACCAAGGGCAATCGGAGTAACTTATTACCTTTATACTGTCTATAATAGTATCACTTAAGATAGTGTTACAAAATACCTTTTCCCTAACTTTATTCTTCAATATTGCATCATGTGACAACAGTGGCATCTACACTGTAAAAATCCAGAACACAGATGCCTGACCAGAATTTGAGGGACAAGTAGAGAGTTCCTTGACTTCCTATAAACTTACTTCTCGGAACAATCTGGATAAAATTTTTGAGGATCTTAGAAGATCCTGAGAAACCAGGTTAACAAATAATCTGGGACATTCCTCACGACTCCTTTAAGGGCCCATAAAAGAAAGAGTGCCATCAAATCTACGAGGTGATGGTATTTCTGATAGTTAGAAGGCAGGTAAAAGTTCCCCGTGCAGAGCTGTCTAGGGCAAACCAATATAAACTAACAAAAGTGCTTTACAGGTGGAGGAGGGAAAGGCGACAATGGCAAGAAAGTAAAACATAAAACTCTGATTATGAGGTGAAACTGTCCCTTATAAAATATATAATATCTATACCTAAATATTCAGCATTCAAAACCGGCTCCGAACCCAGGAACGCAAATGTGTTCCATTAAACGTGCCATATGGGAATTATACACTCATTCACACTTACTCAACTGATAAAGGACTGAAAGAAACTGTAATCTTAACATTTACATAAATATTTCTAATTCCATTAGGGCTTTAGGTGGCGGAGGTAAAAGAGATAATCCCAATTATTGAATATCATCCAGTGCTCACCTAGTTTATAAAAGACACAAAAGTTCTACTCACCATTTTATTTGAGCCTTTATGTAGCTTAATATTTCTTTTATTAAGAGAGAGAAAGCATTTGAGTGACTAAAAATCAAAAATCCTAACAAGATCATTCCTTATCTTAACTGAATACCTTTTGCATGACATCTCAGGGTATTTCGCTTGACTTCATATGAATTGTGAAAATAAACATGTGAAGAAAAATATCTATCAATATATTAAAATTTAAAAACTATAAAGCTTCATTTTATTTATGGAAAAGTTTAAGTAGGCAGTGCTTGATTCTTCCCTGGTCATATTTCTCATTTATCAGTAAAATGACTTGGTACCCAAGTTACAAGCAGTGCTGTGTCTTAAAATATTCTTGACAATGTCTCACAAAAAAATTCTTCTAAGTCATCATTCCTCTTCTAGTTTTCATAGTACCAAATTCACTCAAGAAACATTGTTGCATATTTTGAAAATTTTTATGGCCATGATCTAGTAGCTGAGACACAGACCTCCATTATATAAGAAAATGAAACATCTTACTGATTATTTTTAGCAATGCAAATAAATTTGAGTTTCCAATGGGCATTATGACTCCAAACTGACTTTAAAATGTCATATCAGAAGTACCCTCCCCATACCCTACACATCAGATATGTTCTATAACTACATAAGTGCTCACTGCCTAAGTAAACATTAGGCTTATTGACAAGGGTTTCCGTTTCTCATTTGAAACAAACATTTATGCCTCATTTTCTTTAGATGAAAAAACAAACAAGTAATTCCCAGAGAAACGTGCAAGAAATCACTGAAAATACTCAAGTTCTCTCTATTCTCAGGTTCTACCAACTTGTTCTAACAAAGTGTTTAAGTTATTTTGGTCATTTCAAATAGATGAATGTTGGGCTTTTGTGGACACGGGAAAAGATCAAAGACAGAGAACTTCTAACCTTTTATCTTTAACATACAAAATGTAAATGGGAGTTTTTCTAAAAGAGAACGTGCATTGGTTCCAAAACCTACAATGAAATATGGTAGTATTAAACTGATGTTGATTTCCCAGGATACAAATTATAAGAAGCAGTAGCAGAAAGCAATCTGAGTTGAACACTCATTTATATGAAGCAATGGCACCTAGAAACTGTGCCCAAGCTTATAAACTGCTAGTTGTCCCCTAAAATCTATTCTCCCCTCTTCCCTAGCAATAGGCCTCCCAATTTTGAACTAGGCACATGGCTACTCAAAGGCTCAATTTCCAAACTTCCCTTTCAAACAGAGTGGCTCTTGGACTGCTCTGGCCAGTGAGTTGCAAGAGGAAACACCATGTGGCAAAGTCTAGAAAGCTAACTTCATAGACCTCTGGCATATACATTTTGGTCCTTCCTTTCTGTTCTTTTCTCTTTCTTTTGGCTGGAATACAACTGTGATGACTGAGGCTGAGCAATCAGCTTGGACCATAAAATGTTCTTGAGAACTGAAGCTAAAAATATGATAGTAGGAGCTATCATAACAGTTCCAGATGTGATCTGGATGAAAATCCCCCGAGGGTGTTATACAAAATCACAGGACTAGAAATCAGGAGGTTGGCTTAGACTCCTGAATCCACTGAATGATATTCAGCAAGACACAATAACCCTTTGCCTGCCCTCCTTATCTCCTAGATTTTTGTTGGGATTTGAGATAATAGATGCTCAACAAGGTAAGCTACTTATTTCCATTTTGTTTATATTTGAGACAACGAACACTTATCCTCAAGAGAGTTGGCTCAGGTGGCTCCTAATTGAGGTAGGTGTCAGGTGGTACAGAAACATGGCACCATGGCTGCCCTCAGGTGTGGTTTTCCCCCCAGGGCTCTGCTATAATGAGGTACAAAGGGATGTGTACATATGACATTTCCCTGCATGCAAAGTTTTCATCAGATTATTACAATCTAAGGGTTATTGACGCTCAAAAGTTTACAAGCACAACTGAAAACAAAATCCAACATAATTTGAAAAATATCTGCACACATAAAAATGAACTCTAACCCTGGGAACTCAGAGTTTGTAGAGAAGTTTGTTTCTTTTTTGTTGTTGTTTATTAATATTGATTTTTTTCTTTGTTTTTTTAACAATATTCAGAAGAAATACATAATAAAGTGCCTACTAGATAGCTGGAAAATATAAAACATTTCCGATTATCAAAAACAAGTAAATTAGACGTCCTACAATTTATAAAATAATTAAAGCATGACAATGTATTTGTTACAGTATGTGGCCTGAATGTTTCCCTGCTCTATAGTGCCACCTGCAGTCTCCCCAGTCGTTCTGACCCTGAGCTGGTGCTTGTCCAAATGTAGTATATGGAGAGTGACATCACCAAGATGGCCAAATAAGATGTCCCTCACTAATATCCCCCCCTCAACAACAACAATTTGGACATGGACAAAGGTGCCTCTGTGGGAGCAACAGAATCCAGTCCCATATGCCAAGGGTAATAAACATACAGACCTCAACCCTGGCTATGGACTCTGAAGTGGCCCATGAACTGGCTCTAGCCCCTCTTGGCCACAGTCTGGGAGCCCCTGGAGAATAATGACTTAAACAATCAGCCTTGGACTTCCCTGGTGGCACAGTGGTTAAGAATCTACCTGCCAAGGCAGGGGAGACGGGTTTGAGCCCTGGTCTGGGAAGATCCTACATGCCACAGAGCAACTAAGCCCATGTGCCACAACTACTGAGCCTATGCTCTAGAGCCCGCAAGCCACAACTACTGAGCCCATGTGCCACTACTACTGAAGCCTGTGCACCTAGAGCCCATGCTCTGCAACAAGAGAAGCCACCACAATGAGAAGCCTGCGCACCACAAGGAAGAGTAGCTCCTGCTTGCCGTGACTAGAGAAAGCCTGACAGCAGCAATGAACACCCAATGCAGCCAAAAATAAATAAATAAATAAACTTATTTTTAAAAAAAATCAGCCTCTTACCTTGTGAAAATCCAGGAGTTCAATGGAGAAGTTCTAGCCATTGAACCACTGGAGCAAAAAAACCCAAGACTGGACACATTGGAGAGGGTAAGAGGAATAGTTTGACTTTACTCTCATCACCTCTCCCCCAAGGTGGCACAACTCAGCCTAAGAGAGCCCTTCTTGGCCTGCAATTTCTCCCACAGAGGAAAAGGAGAGCATGTGAGTGAGCACCTGGCTTCCCCAGCTATGTGGGACACTAGCAAAGAGGCCCATTTCTCTCTCATCTCATCCAGAGTACTGAGTCATGAGCTGCATGACTGCGAGCAGTGAGCAGCTGGGAGAACAGGAGCCAGGGCTTGGAACATATCAAAGGGACATGAATGATACTAACCATATCACAGATTCCATCATAGAGACCTGCCTAAGAGTCACTGGGATGCCCTGCCTGCAGATTCCCCCCAACCAGCCCAGTCACTCCGAGCTCTTCACAAACACAC